ACTAATAATACTTTTTTAAAATTAACTATAATTAACAAAAATAACCGGTCTAGGTTATAATCACACCCTTAGAGCACCCGCATTGGCGCTGTTTTTTTAGTGTTTAAATAAATGGATCTCCCGAGTTAACACGGATGCAGCTCATCCGTTAAAAGGTGGGGCCGACCTCCTTGTTCAATATGCTGAACGCGTTAAAGCCTTTTTCTTTCTTTCTTTTAAAAAAATATATTATTTTATTCTTTACTTGTTGTACATGCTTATTTTCTTATTCTGTTTTTTGTTTTAAGATTTTTATTTATTAACTCTTTTTATTTTTTCTTTTTTATATTTTATTATTTTTTATTTTTATCACACTTTCCAATACAGATAAATTCAAATTTTTTGTAATTGTACTATTTTTTTTTTGTGTAATCTTAATTTATGGTATTTTGGTCTTGTAGTGTTTTTTTTTTTATTTTCATGTATTTAAAATTTATTGTTATAATTTAAAAGTATGAAAATTTATTTTTATTGTGGATAGAATATACAAAATTATATTTTTTTTTTGGTACAGGGACTTTCCGGTTTTCGAATCCACAGGGGAACCGACTAATCCGGAATCGAGCCGGGTAGGACCACAAGGGCGGCAAAGCTCTCCCTCAAGAGTTTTAACACTGCTGCATTCCCAGGGCTCGAACACGAGACCACTGGTTAAGCTGGAAGGGACCTAAACCATCTCATCCAAACGTTCTTGGGTTATACAAAATTATATTGAATAAGTGGATAATGGGTTCTACATATGTACTTAAATGAATAGGTATGAATGTGGGTGTGTGTTTAAATGGAGAGAGATTTAGTGAAAAGATGATATAGATGAGAGAGAATGTAACTTTTTGATTGAATGAATGAGAAAAATGTTAAACCAATGTAGATGTCATCAGTGCTACTTTTATTGAGGAAGCGGAGAAGCCAAGTCAACATGTTTTTTTTTAAAAAAAAAAATATATGATGAGGCTCTCTTTTTAGATTTTTTTTTGTTTTGCCGAAACAATACAGATTTTATAAAAGAATACATAATTACATCTAGAAAACGACTCAATAGTTGAGTAAGACAGCTAAGAGCCGATATCTCTATAGGGAGAAAATCATCGAAGATTGCAACAAACGTCTTATTGAATAGTGTGGTGTTGATGTTGTTATTACTTAATCGGCAACCTAAAGCCACACTTATTTAAAAAAATATACTGTACAAACTTTTACATGTATTGGAAAAAAAAAAAAAATGTGTTAGGTAACCTAAAGCCACACTTTTTTAAAAAGAAAAATAAAAATTTGCAAACTTTCATATGTATTGAAAAAAGAATAATGAGCATAAATATATATTTTTTTTTAATATATATATTAAGTTGATCTACTTAATTTTTAGTCCGCCGGTAGAATGCTACGTTCCTTTAAAAAAAAAAAAAAAAAAAAA